CTATGAAAATTTTAAACTGTACAATATTGGAATCATGAATAACTTTGATACAATATGGATTTGTAAAATTTTAATTTTTCATCAAATTACTACTATTTTGGATTTCAAAAATGCTGTTTTTCTGTTGCCACATGGAGGCACCACTTCAGCTAGTAAACAGAGATTTCTAACTTCCATTATCAGCAAGGGTCTTCAACTGTGTGAAGTCTTCAGAAACGTATTTCTGTCCTAAGCCCACCAGTGTTTTCCGATTGCCTGAACAGCAGGTTGGTTTGTGTACTGTCTCCTACGTTTTAGCCAGTATAGGGTTTTTATAAAGTCATTTTATTCCCTAAAGTTTGAAATGGAATTTTATGTTGTTTTCCTCTCTCTCTCTCTCTCCCTCTCTCTCTCTCTCTCTCTCTCTCTCTCTCTCTCTGTGTGTGTGTGTGTGTGTGTGTGTATGTGTGTGGAAACCAGATGTTAACTTTTGGCATTGTTCTTCAGACACGGTTCACCTGTTGGTATGCTCTTTTTATTTTTATTTCTTGAGACAGTGTCTCTCATTGCCCAAAAACTTGCCAATTAGGCAAGCTTGAAAGATCAGAGAGGCCCTGGACTCCCTCATCATTGCTTGCTTAGCATTGTAATTACAAGTAGGCACTACAATGCCCACTAAGGTAGTCATGCTCAGGTCTTCCTGCTTGCAAAGTAGGCACTTCATTCTTCATTGATTGCACTTGTGTCCCCCCCCCCCGCCAATTATTTAATTTTTTAAAAATATTTAAATTAGAAACAAGCTTCTTTTACATGTCAATCCCAGTTCCCTCTCCCTTCCCTCCTTCCCTATCCCCCACCAACTCTCTATTCCAATCCCTTTCTGCAACCCAGGGAGGGTGAGGCCTTCCATGGGGGGATCTTCAAAGTCTGTCATATCATTTGGAGCAGGGCCTAGTTCCTCCCCTGTGTGTCTAGCCCAGCTCAGATTTTGTTTGTCATTTATGAAGAAGATTCAAAACCTCTTGACAACATGAGAGCCTTGAGACCTTCAAGACTGCCTCTGCACACTCTCTAGTGTTATCAATACACCAAAAAAAAGGAGTTGATGAAGTAAGTGGGCTTTGATAATACAAGGTAGGGAGGGTTGAATGGGGACTTAGATGTTTCTTCTGAGTCAAGCAGTGTTGGAACATGAAAACGTTAATCACTCTTTCACGTGATGAATATACAAGGGCACTTGTACATACCAATCAGTGGGAAAGGGAAAATAAAGGCAGTTCAGGTAAAGAGTAAAGACCCTGAAGCCAGAGCTCCATGGAAGACAGTTTCTTTTGATTATCCACAGGACCAAAGTGCACATTTGATCAAAATCAACTTCAGATTATACTCACTTTTACAAGTCCCTGGGTTGAATATGGACAATTTTTCAAATGATGTTTGTTAGCTAAGGAAAATAATCATGAACTTCTTACAATAAATAAATGGTTCCTGCTAAGTGTGAGACACATTGGGAAGGTGTCTCCCCTGTGCAAAGCACTGCATGGTTATAGCATGTGAGAGCCAAGGCTTTCTCTAATCAAGGGACTTAAACACCAAAGACAACTTTTAAACCAAGTATTAGTGGTCGATTCCTTCGATATTCCTCTTAGGTGCACAGCCTGAAACTTTGCCTCCTCCTTATTGTTTTTGGTTTGAAGTAGAATGAACATTTTCTAGGAAAATAGTACAAGAATGCATCCTGTCAGTGCTTATTTCTCGGATTCTGTATACTTTCAGAAATTACAAAAGAAAAAAAATACCGTTAGATTAACAAAACAGGAAGAAATATTTACTCCTCAATCTTTGATACTTAGTTTATTGAGGAAAACTACATTGAAGGGGAATCAATGAGCTAGTAAGCTGTGCCCACTTTATGTTAATAAACTTGAATTTACTTCACTTGTATCACGGAAACAATCCATTTGCTAATTTAATCAACCAGGAGAAACTTTTGTAACTGGTAAGTGATTTTTTAATTGCAAAGTGTTTGAGAGTTACCTTGCAGTAGTAGTTTTTATAAGTACTTAGACATTGATGAGTGACATGAACAGTGAAAGCCTTCTTGAGTCTTCATGACTAACATCACAATAGAGAGAGAGAAAAGCCTCAGAGACCTGTTAGATTGTAGACTCTTTATTTGGCAGTGGTTCTTAAACTCCCAAGGGTCATTCTAGAAGCTGCTGGTAATCTGAGTCCCTTAAGTTAGAAACCTGAATGTCTAGACTAGATCTCTGAAGTCCAGAGGAATATGGCAACCTCTTTGAAGGCCAGGTGCCTTTTTTGGCTTGCTAAACTGTATTTCCTAATTCTGGATAAACAATTTAACCCCTAAGCCCTCAACTCCTAAAATGCACATAGCCAGAGACATAGGAAAACCCAAGAACAAAGATGCTTAAAAACAGAAGAAAAAGTAACTGGAACAGAGTGTGGCATTTCCCTTGGTCTGTTACTGACAGCCCACATACAACATGCTTAAAAATACCCACCTCAGCACCTATTTTCATCATCATTTATGATGATGCAAATGGACATTTAGAATACATGGCACTGAGAAAGTACTCCATCTAGGGATAAAGGGGAAAGTGCTTCCTCAAGCAAGGCTGTGTGCTCTCCCTGGCTTCCAGATTAAAGCACAGGTTGTATAAGTGGGCTCTTCTTACTGACCAGGTTTCCAAATAATGTTCAAAAATTTTCAGTATCCCAAAGCCAATAACATTTCTTTTTATCCTAAGCAAAATAATGACAGGCGTGACTTCTTAAAAGTAGTCTGGATTTAAAGAGACAAAAGAAACCTGTAGAGAGGAATTTCTTCATTTTCTATTGGCTGAGCCACAGACATTGTTAAAAATCAGAGGACTAAAACTAAAAGTCTTTGACTGTAACCTTCGAGGTGGCTGTCTTCTGAGCATTGTTCTCATTACAACTTTTTAGACACATTTTGAAGTTTGGAGAGCACACTACTCCGCTATAATCCAGAACTCCAACTCATGAGAGTCCAAAGCCAGTCAGCAGGTTGTGAACTGGGCTTTGATGATGCTTGCTGTCAATAAACACTGGGATTCATAACTGTCGGAATGAAGTTTAAACAACTGTCACCATAATACAGGGAAGTTGCAAAAAGTAATTGTGGCCAGGTGAAGTGACAAACTGACCAAAAATCATAGGATGTATTTATCCACTGTTCTAGTAAAATCCACAGTCATGGAGCCTCCACCCCCAGTTTTCCTTACACCGTTTTTCGAGTGTTGTACTGTAGGCATTATGTTTTAATCATTTTCCCAATCTAAAAATAAATGTATCCCATGGGGAGTCTGTATCCTTTCCTGGGTTCTTTACTTATGGGGGACTGTACTGCTTCATTGCTAGCCATTATTTCAGTACTGCACACCTGGTCACATTACTCCATTATAATATATGCAGTCAGGCTTTGGAGAATTTATTTCAATTTACATACAATCCTCCAAATCCTCTGGCGAGCTTGATGTGTGATCTGACACTTCCTGTCTCCCCAGCAGGCTCTTCCTTTGCTCTTGATGCTAATAGCCCAAGGCTCCAGCCATCCCTCTGGGGAGCCGCAGTGTGTCTATGGAGTCGGAAGAGGGGTGACTGCTGGGCTTGTTGCACTGAAGATTTACAATGTACTCTTGTAGGCAGCTCAGCAACCCCCTCTGTGGCTGTGGGTGTCTGGTGTGACAGAGCGGAGAAAAGCTCTCTAATCTCCCAGCGCCTGCCTCTGCCGCTCAACCTCTCCCCTCCCTCCCGCCTTCCCTGCCTTCTCGCTCGCTCTCTGGCTCGCTCTCTCTTTTCTCGGGGAGTTTCAGTCCCTGAATGCAGCTGGAGTAGCCTTGGCAATCTAGACCCGGAGCTCTTGTACACACACATACACGCACCCGCGCGCGCACACATGCACACGCGCTGGCACACACGCACTTCGGTTCTCCCCCCCGGGGACACGACTCAGACCTTCATCTACCTGAAGTGGATGCCCCGGCGGGACACTTCTTCACTTGTCTTCTCCGGAGGGCAGAGGAACATCGGAACGCGGGAGGCTCGCTGTCCAGTCCGCAACCTTATGCCTTTTACCGCCACCACTGCTTAAAGTGTCCAGGGTGGAGAAGGCTTCTCCAGTACCGAT